AGTTAATTGAAAAGATTGAACTCAAAATAATTTTTCATGAATTAAAGAAAAAAAAAAAAACTTCTTCTGTGGAGCTTTTTGGGCATGACCAAACATTTGGAGATCTGAATGTGCATGTGTGCTTTGACTGTGTGGGAATTCGTGAGATTTGATGGTGCCAAATACTTAAGAACAGAAATCATTCATCCTCTTTTATTCAAGACAATAGCATCCTTTCAATAGGACAATGCTTAACTCCTTTTCAATTATGCAATAGGATTTGAATCAGTGTCCTACCCAAATGAAAGTACTTTTCTCTTCTCTTCAAATATCTACAACAGGATCCAGATGTTGAAACAGATGTCGCCTGGTTACTACACTGCCCTTTCATTCATTGTGAAGCTATGCACATCTCAAGGAGAGAGAGAGACCTACTGGGATATAGCAAGAGTGCTGGATTAACCCTCTAACATCATTGTAATTTCACCAGTTGTTGCATTCCAGCTTAATTCCACCTTTCACAGGTTGGGACGAGTCTCCATCAGTGCAAAATGACAGCTTGATGATGTCCATTGCCCCAGGACGGTCTAGTTTAATGGGGTAAATGATCTCTCATAGTTGTGAGTGATGGAGATAAGATATATGTCTAATGAAAAGAAAGATTTAAATCTCTCGAAGCCACCTGCAAGTTTCTGGAGGGTGTCATATTCACCATGAGCCCCCAACTCCCGAGACTCCACAGACCCTTACTGCACAAAGAGAAGAGGGTAAGAAAAGAGAAAAATAAGTTCCCAATGCACGCGTGCAGAAAAATAACTCCACATTTATCTGTCAAACATTTACACACACCCTTTTTCAACTTCACCAGCTGATGTCAAAGGTTTGGCCTTGGGGAAGTTACACTGCCTACAATAGTAATCTAATAAGGCTGTGTCTTCTGATGCATGTCCGGACCAGAAAGAAAGAGGGAGAAACTGCAGACTGGACTCAAACTGGAGAGGATAGCAGGCGGACCAAGAGATTGACAAGAGACATCCCCAACAACAGAAACAGACATTTTGCCTCCACCTGCGCAAACCAAAACCAGCTCTATGACTGAGATGAGCAGGTAATGTTTTCATTTATTTATTTATTTATTTTGTATTATTATTCTTATGTGGTGGTGGTGATGCATTTAGGAATTTGGTGGTGGGTTCAAGGGGTTCATGGTTTTTCTCTTGTGAAGTATTGACTTGATTTAAACTCAGTTTTGTAATATTTTCCTTATTTTTATGTTTCTCTGCAGATCTTCATATAAAATAATGAATTTCATATAATTTAATTGGGTAACACTTTATTTTGATGGTCCCTTTTAGATATTCTGTTGACTAAAAGTAACGTTTCACCTATGTCAACTCCCATTAGATTATTAGTAGACTGTCTGGTTTGTATCTGCCAACACTTAATGTGGTTCACCAACATACATTCTATTAATTATAAGTAATTTTGCAAGTACATGACAACTTATTCTACTAACTATAACACCAAACAGTCTACTAATACCAAACTAAAACTCTGAGAGTTAGTTGACATAGGTGCAATGTTACTTTAAGTCAACATGTCAAAATAAAATAAGGTAAAAAATAAAGTATAACCTTTAACTATAATTGTTTAGTTTCTTTTTGATAACCAACAGGCTCACGAACTTGAAATTTATATCTATTTCTTATGAGCTAACATGGAAATGGCTTGTCTAATACTAATAAAAAAATGGCAAAAAAACTTTTTTTAAATTGTACAAATCGCAATACTATTATTCCAGTATATCTGTCATCTCTGAACCATATTCCAACACAGCACAGCATGTTGTTTTTTTTAAGGAAAGTCTCAGATGTTGCTTGTGTAAGCTACATTGTTACAATTATTTCTACTTTATATCGTTTTGTAGTTAAGTGAAGCTCTTTCTAAATAATATTTATATCAAAGAATGTACAAGTGCAGCATTTTGTTGTAACATAACTTCCTGAGACACAATGCCCCAAACAGGAAATTAAATGAGAGCATGTGTTTCTTTTTAGGTGAAGCATAAATGTCCCACAGTTGTCTTCTTGACCATGTTGTCATTTCTCAGACATCATTTCTTTTCAACATCTATGATGGATTTTATCCTTGTTACAGTCAAATATGCTTGTAAATTATTTTAGATAGTAATTAAACTCAAAGGAGTTCAAATGTTGTTTTACAGTCTCAGATTTCAAAAAGTGTTGAGTGAGTTGTTAGGTTATTCTCAAATATTACAATTAGCATTAGCACCGATAGCATAAGCACTCGTTTTGATCATGAGCAATGGATGTGATTACTTAATCCCTGCTACTCAAGACAAAGCAAGACATTACCGGACAGAAAGAAAAAGACTCAAAAATCACATTGGCTGTTGCTCGTTGCTTCTCTCGCATGAGTCAAGACAATGCACTTTCCTGAAGACTGGGTGATTAGAAAACCCAGTCTGAAATTTGTAAGCCGTGTCTAGTCTCACTAAAAGAGCTGCACATGCTATGTTTTGGGGCGTTTGTCGCAGACTAGTCACAAACATAAACGTGTGACAAGGTTTAGTCTTGTATGATCTTGGTTTCAGAGACTCATAGGGTATAGCAAGTCTTTGATATTTCCCTATTGATATTATGTGTTTTGTATTGTTTGTATGCTTGTATTGAAGTCATCTTTGAAAAAAGTTAAACAGATATCCAAGATACAGAGTCCTTTAATAGACTGCTAGATGCAAATTTCTGCCCCAAGAATGACCTCTTGTGGTGTCCTGACACTCCGTGTTTAAATTCTGTAATTGAATTAGGTTGGTGTTTGTACTCTTTGCCCTTAGACCACTGGTTCTTACTTAGAGCTGCACCATCCTTGACACGAGATGTTAATAGACTGGATTACTAATGGTCTCAACTGGAGGATCCCATTGCAGCGGATTACAATGACACAGTAAGGTGTTGTTGTCGTCAGTAGAATTGAGAAGTAATCAGCACTTGGCAGTCAAACAACGACACCATGTGCCAACTTCAAATCCGCCTCTAAATCCAGACTAGTCCCAGACAGCAATCCACGCAGAATCCACATGTACCAGATTTGGCCCAGATCTTGGCCGACTATGTTACTATCTTGGGTGCTCCTGGGGTGCATGTGTTTTGGTGATTGTGCACATATAGCAGATTTTTTCAATACTGATTTTGCAACTCTAGGCATCTACAAAAATAAGGTGGGCCAACTGTCATTTTACAGTCAAACTGGGAATCCTTCTGCAGATTCGAAGATAGATAGATAGATAGACAGACAGACAGATGAAATCTGATCGAGACATTTGTTTACTCAAAAGACGGGAAACAGGTGGTGTTGTGAGGGGAAGAAACGGAAGAATGATCCAGCGTAATATATAGGCCTGTATTAGCCTAATTCTCGAAAAGCTAGGCTGTCCACCGAAGTTCCTCACCATGATTATCCAGCTTCATGAAGACCAACTTGGACAGGTCAGATATAGCAACAACGTCTCGCAGCCCTTCCCTATTGCAAATGGTGTGAAACAGGGCTGTGTTCTTGGTCCCCCACTGTTCACCATTTTGTTCAGCATGATGCTCCAAGAGGACATGGACGGCACTGATGGCGTTTACATTCATATTCGTCTCAACGGGAGCATGTTCAACCTGGGGCGTCTGCAGGCCACACAAAGACCATGGAGCTACTGATCCGGGAGCTGCTGTTTGCTGATGATGCCTTTCTCCTTGCTCGCACAGAGGCAGCTATGCAGTGAATCACGTCCTGTTTCACAAAAACGGCCCAGATCCTTGGCCATTAAGTCAGTGTGAAGAAGTCTGAAGTTCTGCAATAGCCCTCACCACAAATAGAGAACCATCCACCAAGCATCTCCATGGAACAAACAGAACTGAAGGCTGTCCACCATTTCATCTATTCAGTCTGATGCCAAGATCGACAAACAAGTTGACAACAGGCTGGCCGAGGCAAACAGAACATTCAGCCAGCGCAGTCTCATCCCAAGACGTCATATAACTGATGTCTTGGGACGTCTTTTGACCACACGTCAGCATCCGCCGTTTTAGAGTACCCTTTAACATCTGTTAGATGACGTTATCGGATCCTAAACCTACCCCTAAACCTACTCCGTCACCTAACTGACGTTAAAGGTAAAGCATCAGTTGTATGACGTCCCAGGATCGTCATGTAACTGACGTTAAAGGGTACCCTAAAACGGCGGATGTTGACGTATGGTCAAAAGACGTCCCAAGATGTCAGTTATATGACGTCTTGGGATGAGACTGTTAATTCAGCAGATATATGGACATGTCTGGAACAACAACAACCTATACCTGTATACAAAGCTGTTGTGACCACTCTGCTGTATGGCACTGGAAGTCCTGGTTCACGCACCGTCATCACCTGAGACTCAAGCATTTGCATCATCGCTGCCTCCGCACAATCCTCAACATTCGTTGGAGCAACTTTGTCACCAACACTGAAGTCCTTAAGTCAGCGGAGGTTACTAGCATCGAGGCCATGGTCCTTCTTCACAGGGCAGGACACGTCTCCAGGATGTTGGACCACCGCCTACTGCCCTCTGGCTACCGTAACATTGGGGCACCACGGAAGCGATTCCCTGAAGAAATCCCTCACTGCTTGGTGCATCGATCACCATCAGTGGGAAACACAAGCAGCTGTGGCCTGATGGAGCAGTCCCTCTTTGAAGATACCCATAGGGCCAGTATGGAGCACAAAAGGAGAAGAAGGAAGAGCTGTGTCCCCCCCAGACCTTCCTGTCCCGCATAGGCCTCATCAGCCTGTAGAACACGTGGATATCCTTCCTAAATCTTCGTTCGCGAAGCCAAGCCATGATTAGCCTAATTATAACTTCCTTTGACCAACACACCAGTGTCCATCCCCAAAGGATTATTAATCTTGATCTCGAGAGCCTATGATTGGCTAAGGTTGTGTCCAGTGTGTTGTCTGTGATGGGATCATGAGATATCATTGACACTACAAATAGGGGCAGGAGATGGCAAAATAGCTCAGAGTTGAGACACCTGTCCCACAGCAAACGATACAGTTGAAGAGCCCCAAGAAGACAAAGGTAGGTCTCTAGCATTTGTGCAATAATATTTTGTGAAGGATATTGTCAATTTCTTCTACACTATAGCAGAAAGCCTTTCTCCTCCAGAAATGTATACTGTGAGCTATGAGTCATTTTTACATCTGCTTTAATCTAAATGACTTTGTGCTTATTTTGTCTTGGTTTAACATAGAAGTATGCTGCTTAATTTAGGGTACTAAGGATATCAGCTGTTTTTCTCCAAAGCCAGTTTGGAGGTCACGATTTAAAAGTATTTTTCTTACTTTTCAGAGATCTTTACAGGTGAAGCTGGTTTCACCTGAACTGTTCACTAGATATCCAGAGCTTCCCTCTGGTTTAGTGTGAGAACACTGCCCATAGAAAATGATCTCCAGACAGTCGATTATAGAGCTCAGGACCGAAAATTGAAACCAATGCCAGATGAGAGAGAAAGCTCAGCTATGAATATGTGTTAACATATTATTTCTTGAGCTTTCTCTCTCAGTTGGCTGTTTCTTTTATCCTTACAGGATAAGTTTACGCCAACAGAAATATGTGGATGTCAGCAAAGAAACTTTTGAGGGAAACCCATAATAATTGTTTGGGAGAATCAGGGCACATATGCATTAGATGAAGCTCAAACATGCATTTGACAGGTCAAATGGGAATACAACAAACTGAACCTGGCCAATGGATGCCTGATGTGGAGGGCCAGGTGTTGTTAAATTGCCACGATTGTTCACTTTAGAAGTAGTCAGACATGCACATACCTGAAGCCTTATGTTTGCCACTGTCCAAGAGGTAACTGTCTTTTGAATGGAGAGGAGTACACCAGGGTTAAGTCAATTAAGGCTGACCTGGCAGCATATTCTGAGTTTAAGAGGATTACTACTTAAAAGATGAAGACACAGGGAATGATTATCTTAACTAGAGGATGTTCCTAATTTTTTGTCAATGAGTTTATCCACTTAGAGAGAACCTGAGGTAGTTGTAGGGTGGACAGCTAGGATTTTTTTTCCAGACCTTGTGACAAGGGGGCCAACTCATTGAAGGGAGAAACCCATACCAATTTTTGTACCAAGTCCTGTGAACTTTAGTGACTGTCCTGTTTAGTACTAAAATTAAGTGTCTAATTGTATCTAGAGTTATAGTTTTAATATTGTTAAAAGCTAATTTTGCTACTTCTTTTCTGTCTCTATGTTTTTCCAGGTTAAACCTCACCATGGAGTCGCTCATGTTTGCATTTGTAGCCCTACTTCTGGCCAGCCAAGTCTGGTCTGATGAAGTTCCCTACGAGCATATGATCTCTCAGCTCCAGGCATGTCCTAAAGAGTGTCGCTGCCCTCCAAGCTTCCCTAACGCTGTCTACTGTGACAACAAGGGTCTGAAACGCATTCCTGCCATCCCTCCCTATACCTGGTACCTGTACCTCCAGAACAATCTCATCGATGGCCTCTCAACCGATGCTCTGCGCAATGCCACACAGCTAAGGTGGATCAATCTCAACCGCAACAAAATCACAAGTGAAGGCTTGGAGGTTGATGCTCTGAAGGCTATGTCTAACCTTGTACACCTCTACATGGAAGACAACTTGCTGACTTCCATTCCATCTCCTCTGCCTGTCAAATTAGAGCAGTTACGGCTGTCCCGAAACAGAATCTCAAAGATCCCAGCCGGTGTCTTCTCTGGGATGGACCATCTAACCTTGCTGGATCTGCAAAGCAACAAGCTTCAGGATGATGCAGTGACTGAGGTCAGTCTGAAAGGCCTCAACAACTTGATCCAGATTAATTTAGCAAAGAATCATCTCAACAGCATGCCCCTCGGCCTACCACCCACAACTACACAGATCTTTTTGGATGGCAACAACATTGAGAGGATTCCAGTTGAGTACTTCAAGGGTCTTCCGAAAGTGGCGTCTCTCAGGCTCAACCGCAATAAGCTGGCTAATGGAGGTATCCCAAAAAACGTGTTTAACTTTTCCAGCATCCTGGATCTACAGCTTTCTCACAACCAGCTCACAGAAGTACCCGTTATCTCTTCTGGCCTGGAGCACCTGCATCTGGATCACAATAAGATCAAGAGTAAGTCCATTACATTGTTTTTTCGGAAACATTTAGGAATTAGTTTATACAGACAAGTCTAAAAAGTACCACAATTCATCCTTTTGCTTTTGGAGTTTGGATGCACCCTTAATTGTATTGTACCAGCCTGTTTGTAACTTTATCAGTAATCTATATTTTCTGTCATTTTCATAGGCGTGAATAGCTCTGACATCTGTCCACCTGATGCACACGATGATTACCTTGGGGACAACAGCCCACGTCTCCGTTACCTTCGCCTTGATGGTAATGAGATCAAACCCCCCATTCCACGAGAGCTGATGATGTGTTTCCGTCTCCTCAGGGCTATTGTCATATGAAGGTGCAAGACCATCTAGATACTCCTGTCCATTTCATCTACCAGAAATGAAAATGCATGTAAACTAAAACACTTGAAAATGGTCCAATAAAGGACTATCTTTTGGGAAAGTCGGTAAAATATTGAAAACTGCACACTGCTGAAAAGCCAGAATTGGAATGAATTTCCATGCTGGTCCAGATTGACTTATGCTTGTTTGTACTGAACTAGTGCTGGTCTTGCTAGTGGGTAAGTGAAACTAAGCTGATAAAACTGTTTTACTAGCATGATCTTTCTGATGGAGCTTTTGGCCAAGAAAGCACATCTAGTTAAGCTGGTTAAAAAGCTGAGTGAGGATACCAGTATCCAAAATATGAGATATTCTGGGGGTCTGCTGTTATGATCTTTTCAGCAGGGTTGATATCCATCACTCTTAGAAGAAATGGTTCTATTTAGAACCAGAAATGGTTCCATCCCCCGCTTCATATATGGAACTCCAAAACGGTTCTATATAGAACCATGTTTTTTGGTAAAAGGTTCTATTGGCCAAGTACAGGGTTCTACAGTATAACCTTTTAGGGGTTCCAAATACATTGCGCTGATAGAATCTTTTAAGGTTCTATATAGAACCTTTTCTTCTAAGAGTGATGGTTCATATATGCATTTGTGAATAGTTTTTCATGGCTGTATTAGAAAACCACTGTGCCTTCCTTAATTCCATGCATATGGGAAATTAGCAGGCTAAGCTCCTAAATATAATTGTCCTCATTTGCATGTAATGTAATTTCCCCATCATGTGCAGATGTTTTTTAATTTTTTTATTTCAAACAAATCGATCTTAGTAGGTGTACCATTACCCAAAAACTTTTACCTCACCACACAATTCTGGGGTGTTTTTGGACAGAAGAGTTGTGGTCTAATTATGGAGCCAAATTTTCTGGTAGTGAACTTAGTACTTTGCAGTGTTTTATTTGAATTTTATTGAATGCATGGTAACTCTCAGTAACAGTACCAACACAAGTTTTAAATTAGAGAGATTAGAGAAATGCCTCTGTTGTAGTGATTGACATGTACTGATATAAGTTTACTACTACTTTTTAAAAATTTCTTTACATATTTGTACAATCAATATTTTAATATTCAATCAATATTTTGTGTGACATTCATTCTATAGATTGAGCACATTTTATAGATTTATTCACTGTCATTAATTGTAGTGTTACATACTGAATATTTAAATTTAGCATGTGACAATGGTACTTCAGTGAACCTTCTTGATTTTTAAGATTTATTTTCCTCTAGGGTATAAAATAATGTGAATATAATTTTTTAACGCACAAATGTGACAATTATTTTTCACGTTTTCATTTATTATTCTTTGCAGAAAAATGACAGGAATTAGGATTGACAAAAGGGAAAATCTAAGATGAGATAACTTTTGTTTGATGTTCCTGATTAAACTGGTTTTAATGGTCCAGCATTGTCTCTGCACTGATTCATTCTATATTCATGTACACATAAAAAGATGTTGGTTACTGAAAATTCAGAGAACTTTAAGAACAATGACCTGAATGGTCCAAATCAAGCAGAGCAGCCAGGCTATATATATATATATATATATATATATATATATATATATTCTAACTTGTGTTTAGACTTGTAACTTGTGTGCGATCTATTTTAAAAAGCTCACAATTTTAGCTTTTGCTAAACATTTAGTGTTAGCAATTCCATTTTTTGAAGATGGTTTGTTTAATAAGATTTTCAGATGAATTGCGAAACTTCTCATGAGAATATGGCGTGTGAGAACTTAGCACATATTTATGATTCAAGAGATTTGCTGTTACAAACGTAGCACAAAAAATAGGAACTCTTTCTTTTAAATATTTATACATGTATGACAGAGAGGAAGAGCAAACGTGAGTGCACAGTATATGAAACAATGGCTGCATTTATACTGCAGACCTAATGGTCGCATCAGTTACATTGACTTTAGACATAACTGACTGTGTTACATTAAATCCCCCACTTCACAGTGCAGGCCTGTGCTGCTCAAATTGATCGTGCAAGTAAATGGATTTGCTTGGCGCTGCTCAGTGGGTTTGCATGGCTACTGGTGCATGCCGTATAATTCAACTAAGCACATCTCAACTAAAACAGGCTGCAAATAGTTGATATGTTTGCCCACCCGTTAAACATCACAACTAATCAAACAAAGCGAGATGCGGTATGTGCCATTTGTTGTTGCTTGACAGCTCTAGGCCTTAACGGACTAATACTGGATTTTTATTTCATGTGACTCAGCAGAAATATGATTACCGAGGCACTTGTATGCCACTTCCTAATAGGTTAGCAGGTTGCAGTGTGATGCATCTAGGTAGTAAGCAGAGGTCTGAGTTTTATCACGAGCCCTGGCGCAGAGCAGAATGGAGGCCTTTACTCTTCTCAGCAGAGGAGCCTTACAGAGGGCCCATTGTGAGCTGGGGCCCTGCAGATCCCTACATGAAAGCAGAGTAAGCCTCGCGCTCACCTCAGGAAAAGGAAGACAAATATCTCATAGTTAGGACTGAATAACTTATGTGTCTCTTTGGGAAACAAAAAAGAAAGTTGGTTGTAAGGGATTAAAGGATTTTCGCAGTTGGGGGTCTGTCAGCGTGCAAATTGTGTGTCAGTTCAGTGTGTGTGTGTGTTGCAGTGTGGTATGGGGTGGGCGCTGCTGTAGATGTGACCAAAACTCAATTTCTCCCTTTTCTCAGTCTCATTTCTTACCTTCACACACACAGGTAGGTAGGGCACACAGGTCTGGGAGTGTGTGCGTCACATACCCAGAAGCATCCACATACACTCACATTCTCACTGTGAGTGACCTGTTGCCATTGGCCAGGCCCACCAACCCTCTGCCTGTCCGATCTGAAGAACAGGGCCATTTGGGAAAGGAGGAGAAAGAGGTAAGGGTTCTTCTGTGTGTTCGTCTTAATGCTGGTGCTGTGCTTTAGAGCGGGGATCGGACACAAGGGCTTCCCCTTCTGCTTCTGAGCCTCAGTGGTACTTGGCACTTGTGACTCTACTGAGCCTTTCATTGATTCTTATTGATTTTTTGTCTCGTATATGACTGGCTTTATTGAAAATCTATTTGTAATTCTTGTAATAATGCACATTTGCGCAGTCACAAAAATTCAAATACACACAACCGACTTTACTGAGACTTGGATTGCTGGCTTGATGGTATAATACTTGTATCCTCCATGAATGTTCTTATAATATTGACCGTGATTTAAAAAACTTAAATCTGGCAAACAGGTGGCAATGATGGCAATTCATTTGTGTTCTGTTAAATTGCTCAGTTTTCCAGGTTCATTTCTGGTGTGATGATGTTTCTGCCTAGGTTTTAAGAGGATAGTTGATCTTGTGAAGCTTTACAAATCTAAAAGTATTTGCAGAAAATGTGATGAAGAGCTGTAAATAAAGTTACAGACTTTTGATGTGTTATACATTGTTTAAGGTCAAAGGCCGTATTACAGAAACTTCCTGTTTTAAATCTTCAAGTTTGATAAGTTATAACGGAAATTGCCAGGGTTACTAAACAGATAAGATATGTCTCTAAAATGTGTTTAGTTAAGCTACAGAGTTTGTATATTTTTGCATTTTGACTTATTGGAAGATAAAAAGTAATACATTTGCCGATATTGGCTGCACCACTAGAAGAAGAAATAGTAGAATCAATGACTGCTGTTGGGCAGAGCCAAAAACAACATTGGGATAGTTAGTTCTAACACACACACACACACACACACTCGCACAAGGTGTACACACTGCAAACACTGCCAGGAGTGTGTAAAAGCCGAGCTCTGTGTTCAGTATAGTCCCTCTTTCAGCATTTCCCTGTTGAAGCTGTCAGGCATTGGTACACTACAGCTTTAATGAGAGAGGGGTTTTTTTCATAGTTACATACGGAACTCGATATTGCTACTATTTAATATCTATTCATGATATGATGGCAAGTGTTGATTGGCTGTCAGAAGCCCACCGGGAACTGATATATGTTTAAAAATGCAGCGGTTTCTAGAGAGCAGCAATGCCCCTTTTACTGAGTTACGTGGATGTGTGTGCATGAGAGAGAGAGAGAGAGAGAGAGAGAGATAGTAACTCACTGCCATGCTGTCCACAAACCTCGGTGGAATTTCGAACTTGAGTGTAGAGTCAGACACTCATAAAGGGGCTCTGTAAGGTTCTCCCTCTCTTTCTCTCTCTTGCTTCGTTCTCTCCGTCTCACTCTGAGGACCAGAACTAGTTCTGCCCATCAAGTGCACCTTTCCACTCCAGTTGGTCATTGCTTTCCTCTGAGCCTCTTATCATTCAATATATATATATATATGAAGAGTTCAGATGCAAAAGCCTCTAAATGCCATTTGAAATTTTCTTCTTTAATGATGATTTTTATCAAACTTGTATATTTAAGTTCAGTAATTTCACTTAAATAACAATTAATAGGTAATTATCATTGCCATTTAAGTGAAATCACTGAACTTGCATATACAAGCTTGATAAAAATCATCATTCTAGAAGAAAATTTCAAATGGCACTTAGAGGCTTTTGCATCTGAACGCTTCATATATATATATATATACATCTACTGTTGGACAAAACATAAAAACTATAACATTATAGGTTATATTAAACTATATTATGAGAAAGAATACCACGCAATGCATGTGGGATTGAGATTAAGAAAATGAGGATGAGAAAGTATTTGAGAACTGATAATACTTCAGTTATTAAATATTTCACAAATCTTTATCATAGACACCATTAAAATTTTAGAGTTTTGGTCACTGTTTTTTAAAAAAAAAAAATACTATAGGACCTTGTATAGGACCTTGTAGAATTTTCGACCAAAATCAGCACAGAAGATGTAAAAAAAAAAGGTCTGCAGATTCTCTCTGAGCAAGCTGATGACTAGCTGGAAATTGAACAATGTGAAAAAAACCATGTTTTATTGTCTTCCCATAAGCATGAATTTGAGATAGATCATTTACCTATCCTAATGGACCCTGATGAAAAAGAAGTTTATTCAAGTGTACCATTAGTATACTTCTTTTCCATGAGGGGAACCATTTAGAACCTTTATTCAAAGATAAATAACTTTTTAAAAAAAAATGTTATGGGTAAATTTTTTGTTCACAATGTGTGTTATGTTTTTGTTGTGTGTGTGAAAATGTGTAAAAATGCTATATGTGTCATAATTCTGTTTAAAAAGAAACCTGTATGATGTCAGCCATCTCACCTCTGACCTTTAAACACACAAAGCAGTCACTGAGTGAATTCAAGATGGCCGCCGGGTAAGGTGGTGGGTTCTTGGCCCTTGTAAGTGAGCTAAAGACTTTAGAGGCTTCTATTTCAGTCTGTACCCTCTTAATGAACACTTCTCCAATCTTACAAAGCTCAATTGTCTTTATTCCTATGGGGGAAAAACTATGCAGAGACTGTAAATGCAAGAGAGGTAACTGCTGATTGGAAATCTAAATTGTCATGGACATGTCTCCTGTTTACTTCTCTATTGCTGCTTCTCTACATGAGCATTTTAAGATCTCGCTAGACATTAATCAATCTGACTCTGTGTAGCAGGAAGATGGTAACGCTGAGGTTGACGTGGGGACTCCTGGTCCTGTGTGTGGTGGCAGCCTCTCCCCCCAGATACGCCCGACAAGCAGAACTAGACAACTATGACGACAACAACAACGTGGATATAGACCTGAATAAGGAGGGCGGCGATTTTTATGAATATTACGATGAAATTGATGAAACACAGGTAAGAGAGTGATTCAAGGTTTCATAAATGATTATCCTGACATGTTAATATGCTCATGTCTTTGACCTCAATAAGTGAGATTTTGGGTTGACCCTATTTTGCATTTCGTTTCAAACAAGCAAGTCTTAGTTTTGTATCAAGTCTAATTTATATCTGGACCCTGATTACGAATGCCCTCTTTGCATATTCATTAGTTCCCTCCAGCCTGTTGAGATTGCTAATGCTCAAGCATTGGACTCAGTTCTAATTGTCATGCAGGAATGTTTTGCTTCAGGGTGTTTGACAAGTTTTCATTTGCTCTGCTGGTCCAAATGTTCCTGGGGATAATCGTATCCAGCTATGTTAGTCTTTGGTTTATGATTTTCATTTAGAAACTGGTTTTAACCCAGCTGCTGTGCTTCAGGGTCGGTCATCGAGGGCATGTTGGCCTGTATTTACTTATCCTCTCTGATTACAGATGACTTTTCGGCTGTTCATACTAATGTTAGTCCCGTCTTCTTTATAAGAACCATCATTTTCAGTAAATTGCCTTTTTATGATGCAAACTCAATTTGTGACATTTGCATTCAAAGATTGTTTTTTTGCTCTTGTACTAAGAACTACTCGTGCAGAGGCATATTGATGCAACCAAGTTCAGTGTGTCAGACTGATTTATATTTATTTCTTTAATATAACACTTTTCTTACACAACATCATCTGTATAATGGCCAAAGCAGATGTTGTTGAACGTGAAACTGAATTTTCCACTGGCACAGCCTTGTTGAATGAGAGGCAGACACTGGCATTTTTATAGTACTGAAGTTCACTCATAATCAATAGTTGTACAACACTAGTAACAGATTATTTCACTTAAGTGGCCGTTTTTTTTCTGGATGTACATTTAAATCATCAATAGTTGCTCAGAGCATCTAAATTTGCTAATGCCTACTCACTTTTTAGTTGTCATTTTCAAAATTACTTTTGTATCTGCATCCAGAGAGAAAATATTTTTATTTTAAAGGGAAGTTTTAGTTATGAACATGAATTTGCGAATGTCTGGTATTAATTTTACCCATCTTTACATGTTTTATTAAATTAAATGTGGATGTTACAACATTTCTGGCCAATAAAGCAGTTGCAAACGACATTAAGTAATGTATTCAGTAATAAATATGATATAACGATGAAAACAACAACCAGTTTATCATCTTCAGCATGGAAGAAAGATAGGCTAAAACTATGCTTGACTGCCACAAGCCATTATGTTTTTTTAGAAGCATCACATCGAAGCCAAAAAACTTAACTTGATCCTGATGTTAATGTTATGAAGTTAAACTAAACCCACAATCAAAAGCACACGTGTGAGTTACAACACATTTTCATTGTGCAAGGTGCTTTTGTTTTCAGCTCTTCAGGACATTATGAAAGTTTCATACTTTGTATAACCATTAAAAAAAACAATAAAACTTTTCACATGATGAGAAACAACAGATATTCACCCAGTTTCACAACAGTAGTTGATTTAGATTGCTCGTAAAACTTTTAATGTAGCTTGCACAACTTGAGTGAATCTTAAGACTCTTTCTGTATAGTTTGGCTCTTGGGGTAAAAGTTTTAAGTTGAGGTTACTTATACATGTAAGAGTGCTTGTAGGTTTTGTCTGTGTGAATTAATGTATTAACAAGGACATAAAATGTGTGTTTTACTCTCTCACATAAGTTGCTGTCAAAAAGTTGCTGCTGATGCTGTGTGAATCTTGTGCTCTAAAAGTCGAACTTAATACACATGACTGTTTTACAGGTTTCTAAAAAGGCATATAATGCGTAGTTTGCATTGTAGTTACATCCATGCCTATTAAATGATTACTTTGTCCTATATTTCACCATCATGATCATTCCCAGCTGATGAAAAAATCAAATTAGCTTTCAGTTGAACCTAATGACCCCTTACAGCTATAACAGGATAAAACAAATACACTGCTAAACTTCACCAACAGAAAGATTTTGAATACTTTCAAACTCTTACACAATATAAATTCCCTCAAAAAATCATCTTTTGTCTACCCTTTTATTTATTGCTTCAGAAAAGAACAATCAATGTCAGCACAAGCTTGTGAGTCGCATGCCTGTCGTAGAAAAGATTTTGGTTGTGGTTCCAGAAAGCTTTCATGCATCCTGGTATCTGAAATGAGTTAATGTCACTGTTTATTGCTGAACACGTTGTTGCTTAGTCATACTTTTAGCCTTTGGCATTGCATGTTTGACTAGTTTGGTGTATGAAAAGCAAGCATATTCTAAGAAAGGCCTCTCTAAGACATTGTTTTACAGGCTCTCATCATCAGTAGGTTTTGGCCATGTGTCTTCACACACTGAATTATTAGTGTAATGCATTTTATGCTTTTTTTTTTATCTCATTTTATGTTCAAGTCGACCACGCTGTGGGACAAATGCCGTCTCTGGAGTTAATACAGCACAAATGTGCAGAAATATGGATTTTCTGCTACCATTTATGTCTTGGTTCCACGAGGACCATTTCTAGAGAATAGCAGCTGTTTGCAGATGAGACTGTGAATGGCTTCACAGCTCCCCACTCTGGATTGTAGCGGAATCAAATACAAAAAGAGAGAGAACTGGTCAACATCACAACATATGAAGAGTTCAGATGCAAAAGCCTCTAAATGCCATTTGAAATTTTCTTCTTAAATGATGATTTTTATCAAACTTGTATATTTAAGTTCAGTAATTTCACTTAAATAACAATTAATAGGTAATTATCATTGCTATTTAAGTGAAATCACTTAACTTAAATATACAAGCTTGATAAAAATGATCATTCTAGAAGAAAATTTCAAATGGCACTTAGAGGCTTTTGCATCTGAACTCTTCATATGCAGATTTTGAATAGGTTTTAAAAATCAGCACATCAATATGACCTGTAATTTGTCCCACACCTTACAACAATTAGCAATTGTATGGAAGAGGGTGAATTTGAATGCTTTGATTGAATAGGTCCAATACCCAGTAAAAAGCCCATTACTCTTTCAAAGGGACAGCCTTTTCCTGACTCACACCTTTTACTGAACCTTGGAATTGTTTCTCTTACAATCGAATATCTGCAAGAGTTTATGCTTTAGTAGGACACAGAAATCTAATGTATAAATTGTTTGTATTGGGACATCCGTACACAGTTTTAAAACTCATTTCGGTATAGCAAAAGGGTGTCCAATCCAGCTCAAGGAGGGCCAACGTCATGCCGACTTCAGCCCCTTAAGACCTTGATTAGCATATTCAGTTGTGTTTAATTTAAGTTGTAGCTAGACTCTGCAAAAAGGTGGCCCTGTAAGATCAGTATTGGGTACCTTAACAGATTGAGATAATTATCTTTTACAGCACTCTTTTTGACACAGCACTTTCTGTCCTTTAAATCATTGGCCGTTCAGACTGATCTAATGAAGTAGCGTGTGTCTGACGCGCCAATTCGTATTTTCATTTTTGGCGTGCTATCAACACGCATAATCGCTTTTCAGCGTGTTTATGAACGCCGTTGACTTAAAGGAGAACTCCGGCGCAAAATGAACCTTTGGTCTAATTACACATTGTTATCTAGTCGTTATCTGAGATTTGTTTTCATGATTGCCGGATGTAAATAGTTTTATCTCTAAAAACAGTTTAGCCTATAACGCTAGTATATAGGGCATAGAGTAATGACAAATAAAAATCGCTTGTTATTACCACTAACAAGGCTCAAAATAGCCCCACAGTGACACTTGGATCGGCATTCGTAGATCGACTGGTAGAGACTATTTTTCAAAGATGGCTTCTTCCTGTATTTGCGAAGTTGACTGTATGTATAAAATATCTTCTTATTAAACTATATGGACACTGACAAAGTTCTCAATGCTTCAGTTTGAATGTAGGGACCCTTATTATGCTACCGTGTTACTGTGGGGCTATTTTGAGCCTTGTTAGTGGTAATAACAAGTGTCATTACTCTATATGCCCTATATACTAGCATTATAGGCTAAACTGTTTTTAGAGATAAAACTATTTACATTCGGCAACCATGAAAACAAATCTCAGATAACGGTTGACTAGGTAACAATGTGTAATTAGACCAAAGGTTCAATTTGCGCCGGAGTTCTCCTTTAATGTTATTACTGTATATATATAAATATATGACTTACCTCAACCCCTTCCCTAAACCTAACCGTCACTGGGGTTAATGGCATTTATGACTGTTCCCTTACCATCCTAGGTAACAAATATCACTCCCCAGATGTAGATCTGCATTTTGCTTCATTTCGCTCGGACATTTGACGGCGTGTACAGACACGCGGAATCACTCGGACGTTAATGGCATAGACATACACGCATAGACGCGGATACACGTGGATAGCTCAAAATGCGTAGAGATAACACGCCACTTGACTCGAAAGTGGCGTGTATGTTTACGCAAAAGTCATGATGCCATGTTGGGCCATTTGAGAAAGCCATGTTTTGGTTTGTAATATGACAAAAATGAGTATAGTATACTGACCTGAATTCTTCTTACAGACTGACACCTTGGTCCCTGATGAGGACATTGATCCTTCAAATGGTGCCTCGTTTGAAGAGGAAGAAGAGGGGGAGAATGTGGAGCATGAAGAACAAGAAGAACGGAGGACAGTTGAGGAGAATGAACATAAGGAATTACCCATTCAGCCTCAGCTTATTCCATCAGGCTCTGGGGAGTCAGGGACTCTGATGGGCCCTAGTGCTCAGGGAGGTTTGTACCATGCATGTATAAATGCACACACAACTAATAGTCATGACTAGCCTTCCAACCATTTCATGCTGTTGTTCCATTTAACTGGCAATCCGATTGGTTAAATGAGTTTTAATAATTCTTGAACTTTTTATGTGAATCATTCTTATGCTTTTTATGTGCATCATAACCAGTAAATCACTCATAGTCTTTACTGAACCAGTCCATATGGTTCTAAGTGTAATTCTAATTCTAACAACTGTTCTAACACCTAACCTTGTCTTGAACAAGAGGAGGAGCTTCGTCGGACGCCCATTGACACCCTTCAGATTTCTGGGGACATTTCGGGTTCTGGTGACTTGGGCTCTGGAGACTTGCTCGATAAGAAAGCTTCTGGTTCTGGAGAGCCTTTGGGCTCTGGAGGTTCTGGGACCTCTGGTGACATTTCAGGTTCTGTGGAGTCAGGGGACCTTGTTTCTGGAGTCTCTGAGCTTTCTGGTTCAGACTTAATATTGATCTCAGGTGGAGGTCAGTACTCAGGACTTTGGTTTACTTGATATACTGTGAGAAATAAATGTGCAAAAATAGAATCGTTAAGGGCACAACAGGTTGTCACTGGGGTAGTATGCTTTAAGGTATAACCTGTGTACCTTTGGCAACCTTGTACCTTATCTATACATAAAAGGTGCATATTAATACTTTAAGAATAGTAATATGTAATCTTAAGGTATCCTACTGTGAATATTTTAGGGGTAAATAAGTTACAAAGATGTCCCTTCAATGGTACTCGAACTGTGAGAAGCTGTTGTTCCCCTAAAGGTACAATTATTGCACACTTTTTTGTAAGTGAAGCTTAAGGGGGTTCTTGATTACTTCAACATAGTATTTATTTCTTTGTTATATCTGGGTGAGGTGGTGTCCAATGTATGGTATATACCCGTTAGACTGCAGTGGGGAGGGATATCCTAAATATTTGAAAGCAAGTAACCATGATCTGGAATTCACAACCATTTATATTTTTGTATTGGTTACAATCTTGATTCAAAAATGGCTACCTCATTATCATTGCCAGCATTGTTGCCATGCTGTTATCTATCATCTGCTGTTGAGGAGGCTAATTTCCTTTTTGCCACCCCACCTTGTCTCTTACAAGAGGAGGAGCTCCACCCGATCCTTGAAACCCTTCCACACGAAGCCTCTGGGGATTATGGGGAGTCTGGGATCTCTTGGGTGTCTGGAGCCTCTGGGTTACCAGAGGTGTCAGGGGATCCTTTGGCCTCTGGAGTACCTGAGGTGTCTGGAGAATCTGGGGCATCTGGGGTACCTGAGGATTCAGGAGAGCCTTTGGCCTCTGGAGTACCTGAGGTGTCTGGAGAATCTGGGGCATCTGGGGTACCTGAGGTCTCAGGAGAACCTGGGGTACCAGAGGTGTCAGGGGATCCTTGGGCCTCTGGAGTACCTGAGGTGTCAGGAGAATCTGGGGCATCTGGGGTACCTGAGGATTCAGGAGAGCCTTCGGCCTCTGGGGTACCTGAGGAGTCAGGCGAGTCTGGGTTACATGAGGTGTCAGGAGAGCCTGGGGCCTCTGGAGTACCAGAGGTATCAGGAGAGACTGGAGCCTCTGGTGTGCCTGATGTGTCTGGAGAGCCTGGGATTTCTGGGGTGCCTGAAGTGTCTGGAGAGCCTGGGATCTCTGGGGTGCCTGATGTGTCTGGAGAGCCTGGGATCTCTGGGGTGCCTGATGTGTCTGGAGAGCCTGGGATTTCTGGGGTGCTTGTAGTGTCTGGAGGGCCTGGGATCTCTGGGGTGCCTGAGGTCTTTAAAAAGCTTGAGCCCATTGAATTGTTTGAAGAGTCTGGCATCCCTGAACTGGAAACTGGAGAGCCTGTGATCTCTTTGGAGTCAGGAGAGTCTGGGGTGACTGAGGCCCCAGACGTCACCACTGAAATATCCATTCCTGACCTATATAAAGGTCAGTACAATGATATCAATACCTTGCACTTCTATGGCTTAGATTTATGGATTTGGAAATATGACAGTTGTTAGGGATCTTTTTTATCAAGGATAGTTTAGACTAGATTAACCAAAAATATGACAACTATTGAACTTATTGTTGCACTCATCAATGCCAGCATTTTCTACAAATGTTATTCCCACTGGGAAACCCATGTAACCGGCTGATATTGGTTACCTGTGTGTTCATTATAACAATAATAATGCATTATAACTTCTCAATGTCATTATTGCTCACTGTCATGTTCCATTTTTCATCTGTTCATGTGCTAATCTGTCTTCTAACACCTTAATGTTATTGTGTTTAACAAGTGGAGGAAATACTCTTAACAACCTTGACCACTCCCCAGGAGGGGACTGGGGGTGATATAGGGTCAGGGTTACTACCTGATATTGACACAGACACAACAGGTCAGTATTTCACTTGTATATAGTGTTAGGCTAACTGATTAAGTTCTGTTGTTTACCAGAGATACCTACATATCACTATTCATTTGTGTAATATATTATACTGTAGGAGTGTCCAATCCTGCTCCTAGAAGGCCACCTTCCTGCAGAGTTTAGCTCCAACATGCTTGATCCTGAAGACCTTGATTAGTTCAGGTGTGTTTAATCGAGGACGGAGCTAAAATCCTGCACTAAGGTGGCCCTTCAAGAGTAGGATCCTTATGTACTGTATGTAGCACATTCTCATGTGACTTTGTGGCTTTGCAGTCTGATACAAAAGTGTGTACTTGTCTATCAATAAGGCTGTTGCTATATGCAACTTCTGTGTTTTAATATGTGTTTGTCTTCTGAATATCACCTGCTGGTTTGGCGGTAAGGTATGGCTACCTGTATGCTGTGCACCTGTCTGGTCGGATCTGTGTACTGTGATGACCTTAAGCTGGACCGTGTTCCTCCCCTCGCCAAAGAAACCACTCATTTCTATGCCCGCTACAATAAAATTGCCAGGATCAGCAAGTCTGACTTCGCCAACTTGAGTATGTGTTTCATTAATTGGAAAGCCAAACTGTTTTAAAGTTAATACGAAATCAAAATGGACAAAAAATTATAATATAGAGTGCCGAAGTGATGACGTCACTTTGTAGGACAACTCGGAAGCTAGCGGCGCATGGGTTCCCTCGGTCGAAAAGCAATGCATTTTCCCCATAGACTTATGGAAAATCGCAAAAAATAAGATCTGTGTTTAACAAAAGGTTGTGACCCTTACATGTTTTGTCTAGCAAGATAATCTTTACAATTTAATCCAAAATGTATACATTTTGAAGCCTATATAAAGACTGTGTTCAGTCATATATCAAAACGTGAAAATATTTAGAGGCTTTGTTCACCACAGACCTTATTTCAGGCGATTTAGCAAAAACCCATTCAAAAATCCCATAGACTTTAGAGCGAGGGAACCAGTAGTGCTAAAATGCTAACTCACTTCCGCGTTTTGGCCTACAGAGGGACGTTGTAACTTCGGCACTCTATTAAGCCCCGCCCTACAGTTTTCTAGTTGAATAGTTTCATTTGAAAACGCTTCACAGTACAGAAGTACATTTTTTTTTTTTTGGACAGCAGTTTGTCTAACAATCTTAATAGCGTTAACAACATTTGATTTATTTAGCTTAATGCTAAAATATAACTTTGATGTTGTCATAAATTTTACCGAATGGCTTTTTGTCTTTTTTTTTGCCATACAGATAAATTAAAGAGGATCGATCTGACCAGCAACAGCATTTCCAGGATTGATGATGATGCTTTCTTTGGCCTTCCTGCTCTCCAAGAGTTGATCTTACGAGAAAACAGTATAAGACAACTTCCTGCTCTGCCACCCTCTATGTCTCTTATTGATGCCTGTCACAACCAGTTGGGCAGCACTGGCATCCAGAGAGAAGCTTTCAAGGTGAGAGAAGCAATAAGAGTCAAAATGTGAAAAAAGTTTAACAAAGCATAGCCATTAGCACTTTCTTTGCTGTGCTTTCCTTGAACCTGTTATAGCCTACAATAGGGAACAGCTTACATAAAAAACAGACAGTAGAAAAGCTGATGGTGGTCCGGTCCCAACGGGAAGGTCTGCTATTGCTCATACCGAGAGGTGTTGAATGCACCTTAGCTAATTTTGTTTGACAGGATTGTCTTCAACTCATGTTTTCGGTTTTCAGGACATGCCAGGGCTACTTTACCTTTACTTGACTGACAACAACATAGACCACATCCCAGTTCCTTTGCCTGACAGTCTGCGCTCCCTGCACCTACAGGTACCTGTACTCCCACCTCACTAGCGCCACACTGTGGACATCTATGGCACTTGTCACCTAACTGAAATGGTAACATTTATGTATAGATTCTAATTTAAAGGGATACTCCACCCAAAAAATTCTGCCATCATCATTTACTCACCCTCAAGTTGTTGCAAACCTTTATGAGTGAACACAAAGGATGATATTTTAAAGAGCGATTGGAACCAAACATTTGTTTGGCACCATTGACTTCCATATCATTCTTCATTCTCATACAGGTTTGCTGCAACAACTTGAGGGTGAGTAAATGATGACAGAATTTTCATTTTTTTGGGTGGAGTATCCTTTTAAACTAGAAATTATGCTATTTGAGAACATCAGGAATATCAGGAGAAAATAATAACCAAAACCAAGTATTCAATTTATAGTCAATCTTTCAGGTAATCCGCAAAGTGCTCTTTAATTAATATGGACATCTTTCCTATAGTAAAATTATGAATTATCACCCAAAATGTAAACATTAAATAAAATAAAAAATACAATAATGTACATCTAAAATGTTCCATTTTATCATTCAGAATAACAATATCCAGATGATGCACGAGGACACCTTCTGCAATCCACATGATTTAAATTACATCCGCAATGCTCTAGAGGACGTTCGCCTGGACGGTAATCCCATCAACCTCAGCAGAACCCCACAGGCCTACATATGTTTGCCACGTATCCCTGTTGGTGCCCTTATTTAAGCCGGAAAATGCACACTCAAACGCACACATGCAAAACTCACACGTATGCACATGCATCAAAACTCCTCTGTGCGTACCTCTCTCTCTCTTTTTTTTTTTTAACTTTGGGCTCAAGCAAACACTTGGATATGAATGGCTGTCTTTAAAAGAGGTTGGCATAAATACATAAACCTACACTCTCACAGGAGTTCTGGTGGACACTTCCAACTCTACGCTGCTTGTGTTCCTACCTTTTTACACAGTACACACTTTTCATAATGCAGATTTGTAGTCGTATCTGGATTAATGACGCTTTAGAGAAACAGAGAAACATCCATGCATAACTGAAAGTTTTTTATTTATCAAATAGTGGAAAACAAGATGTCATTAATTTACAAATGCAAATCTGAACACAACAAAAACCTTCGCTGTACTGGTTGCCTGTTCGGGGCTAGCTGCAATAGCCAGCCCAAATTGTTTAAATATGTTTGTTTTGTAAATTAAATATTGTTAATATTCATATAGAATTTAACAAATGTTTATCATAATTAGCATAAGCTGGTGCTCACTGAACTTCTTGAAAGGTAAATTTGACTAATGCAATAAAAGCATTCTATCAATGAATTTGTTGTAAAGTCTGTACTGTAATTTAAATATATGTAAGCTGAGTCTTTTTTTTCTACAAGAACTGCAATATTTTGGTATATCACATCTCAATCTGTTGTATTGGCTGCTGAGGGGTTTGAAAATGATTGGGGGGAGGGTGGGGGTAAATATTAGCTCAGCATTGTGTGTTTTGTATGGAAATAATCACACCTGAATAAAGATTTCTGATGACCTCTCCAAAACAGAGGTAACGTTTTCATTGTTAGCTTAGAGAAAACCGACGTTCAAAGTGCTCTTTTAAACAATAGATACTATATAAATCAATCACTGTAACACAGAACAATCCACTTCTGGTAACAGTTTTACTTCAAACAGAACGTGTACAAAAATAATGACATTTACATAATGGGTCCCGTTCAGAACAACTAGTCCTATTTTAGAAGTTCTCAATGAGCTTTTCAAACAGGTTGAGGAATTTCTGCCTCCTCTCCAATGAGGCCGGTTCCAACACTAAGGGGATAGAGGTGTCAGTCCCTTCTGAATTGTCGTTCAGATTAGCCGGCTGCTCCACCTTTTCCACCCCACGTTGCTGCTCAAGGAAGGCGCGCTCTCGCTCAAGCTTTGCCCTTTCTCTGTCAAGAATCGCTCTTTCCTTTTCCAGCTGAGCTCGGATGTACTCCACAGAGGCCCTATCTCTCTCCACAGCGGCTTTCTCTCTCTCTAGGGAGGCCCTGTCTCGGTCCAGTGCTGCAAGTTCTCGCTCCACTCCTGCTCTTTCTCGGTCTAAAACCATCTTCTCCCGCTCCAGGACCATCCGCTCGTATTCAATAGCGGCTTTGTCGCTCTCCAGAATGGCCCTCTCGTGCTCCATCTCATCCCTGTCTCGGTCTAGATCTGTCCTGTCTCGCCCCATTTCCTCAGACATCATGTCATCCTCTTCGACAAACAGCTCGATCTCGCTTCTGTTCGGCTCACGCGCCCTCTTGCTCCTCCTGCGCGTGGTGTTGTTCGGCCGATACTCGCTGTCATCGCCCACAGAAGAAGTGTCTACGGTGACTTCGCTTCCCGCGAGTCTACCCTCCATGGCGTCATCCATGAGGGAGAACCACGGCCAGTTGGTGGGGTTCACTGAGACGCCAGGTGGGGGATTCTTCATTTCCTGATGCACACAAGGTACACGGACACAAAGGTTTGTGAGCACAGAGGGCAAGATCATGCAGATTAGTATGTTTACTTGTGTGTATAAAAAAAAATATAATATGAATTTATACATTTCATATAAATGACATTCTGATGTTTATATTTATTCAAATGTAATTTTGATTATTTTGTGTGTAACTTTAATGTCATGTGTGTGTATGTATCATGCTACTACCATACATTTTAAATAGTTATTGAGATTTTTACTATGTAAATATATAATTCGTCATTCTTAAATGTAACTACATTCTGATGTATAATATTAAAATGTCATTAAATAAAGTAACACACAAAATGAACTAAATGCTATGTTTAGGTATAAAATACATTCATTGTATTTACATACTTTTCAGATACGTTATTTAGATATGTATTATATATTGTTTGTCATCATTAAATTTAATGGCATTCCATTGTTTAATATTTAAATGTAATTTAGGGAATTTTATGTGTTTGTGTCGCATTGTCTGAAGATTGAAGTGTCTTCATGGTGAGCTTCTAAGCAATATCCAAAATGCACAGGACCGCTGAACACTCATAACATGGCATAAGCATACCTTATACTTCATCTTTAGGTTTTCCCATTTCCTCCTTGCCTGGCTGGCAGAAATTTCCCTTTGCAGACCAAGCTCTTTCAAGATGGCCCTATAGCAGATTACAAATGCAGATTTCACTGATTGCTGCAGGCTGCTGGCATAAACATGTAATGTATACGTATTTCTTGGTGCAAAGACTTGAATGGCTATGCATAGTGTTGGTGTATAACGTTATATTGTTTTACCTATAAGCCAGAGTTGAAGAATTTCTCTTTCCAGTGAAAAGTGAGTCGTTGGTCACACGCAACTTCACGAATCTAACAAATTCTTCATTTGACACTTGATGCACATACACATTAAGACACATGCAGATATTAATATCGGTGAGACACGTGATTTGTATAATACAAGCATCCAATTTACGTGGGCAACTGAATGCTAAACTGCTAAAATTGGACAGTTAATTAAATGCAACGGGACTTTAAATGCATACAGTTAATCGCTACTCACTCTTATAAATGAATTCTGCATGATCTGGGCCATCCTTAATGTCCTCGGAGGGACTCTGTACAGTGTAAAGTTCGTGGTCCATACTTGCGTCTGTTGTCTTTGAGTCATCAAGTGCGCTACTCATGGCGCTAGTGCACAAGAGAAGGGCACTAGAAGAGAAAATGGAGGGTTGCGTTTATTCCTTCTGCTATTAATTCACGGCGGTCAGAGTCGATACATACCGCCACCTACTGGAGTACTGTGATATCTCAATGTAAAATGTCAGGAAAAATAGAGATTAGGAAAAATGTGTAAATTAGTTCGCTAGAAAGCTTTAAAATGTGAAATTGATTATGAAACATAGGTACAGTTGGCCCTTGTTAACTAAAGCACCACAATGTGTTCATTTATAAAGTGATTCATTTCGGATGTCGTGGTCTCTCGTGACATGTCTACTTGATGAGCAGCACGAGCTCTAATCTAGTGGCGAAATCCCTGAAATGCTGTAAAACAAAAAAAAAGCCCTAATTTTTCGTGAATACTTATGCAAACTTATTTCCTAGTGTCTACTGCTGAGTCTCTTGGTTTCTTCTTTATTTATTTGTTTTGTTTTATTATTATTTAGTTATTTTTATTGCTATTTTTTTCTTTTACAATGGCATACTCCATGTTCAATGTTGTAAGATTGTCTAAAGATGGTTGTGATGTGCCTTGTTGTATGTTTGATATAAGATTCAATAAAAAAAAAAAACTAATCTAGTGGCGAGATCTGATGTTGCACATTCATTGTCTAAATAAATGTCCCATAATGTTAAATTAGATTCGACCTAAAAGGCGCAATGAGCTCGATACTCACTAAGAGGACCCGTTGTGCTGTCTTTTATTGTTACATTGTCACTTGTCTTATTTATAAAACTCGCGTCCCGAAACTGTTTGACTAATACTGGGGGAGCATTCATGCCAATACGCCCTTCGATACGGGCAATCATGACGGACAATTACTTGGAAAAGGGATGTTTTTTTTTAACACAAGAACAAACACATTTTACATTTTGAACAACAAACACATTTTCTGAAGAAGAGATGAATGCAAGTAAAGATGTATTTCACAAATAGATTAATTTTTCGTAAGTTTCTCAAAGATGGCAGCAGAGAGCTTCAAGAGGAGAGACTGCGCATTTTGGGTGGCCTGGGGTCGCCGACATTTTGGTGAGGTCGTTAAGGTACCTCGCTGCTTTTGTTTTGGAAAAATTAAATGTGTGGGTGATGTTCTTCAAGATATTTTCCACAAGATCTGTTGTTTTTTTTTTACTACGTTCCGAACCACTGATTCGGAACAAAGGATTCGATATGGTTTCGAAGCTCCAAGAAGGAGCGATTCAAAAGAGGCCATCACTATTTGTACTTGTAGACAACTTTTTAATATATAAATATAGCTTTTTGATTTTACAGCTACGGACTTTCGCACGTGGAATTGCTTGAACTTGAGCACAGCTATCAGACTGACTAACCCAATGTAAATGATTAACAAAGAACATGATCAGATGTTTATCTCACTGAATGCGTTTTTGTTTTAAAACGTGGTAGTGTAACGGGGAAAAAAACAATGTTTTGATGGTTTAAAAGTAACGTTCATGTTATGTGTGGCTTTGTATACCTATTTTGTTTTGTTTGTGTGTTTATAAAGTTTCCGGTTGCTCTTCTTCATGTTTAAATATGTTGCAATGTTTTGCTGATAAGTCCCCAGTGGGGCACTGTGTTCAAATCAATGGTCTCATGATCACCGCCGAATAAGACGAGACGAAAGCTGATTGGTTGAAAACGAAAAACGTCACTTCCGCAGGTTCGTTAAGTACGTAAGTCGCACGTTCCTTGGACACGTTTGTCATTCGTTTGTTGAACGTCAAGGAGAAAGCAGCGTTTGATTTTTGGATCCTTTTTCAAAATTTTTTCATTCCATTTTACTGTTATATCTCAATCACTCGGTGTTTTTGTATCTCTTGCATCTAGGCAACAAAGACTGTGTGTTTTTTGGGGTGTAATGTGTCTTGAAGTTATGACAATGAACGAAAACTACCAGAAGGACACCGAGACCGCGCCAGTTCATAAGAAGAAATGGTCAAAATCAAAGAGGAAAACATTTTTGCGTGCAAAAATCAGCGAAAGGAGGCGACGGGTCCGCGCCTGGTCAGTCAAGAGACCGCAGCTGTGTCTGGACCGTGTCGACGATACAGTAACAAGGAATAAAACACCGATTGCCATGGCACCAAGAAACACAACCCAGTATTTAATGGACTTGGTCTACGCTGAACGATTAGATGTTTCATTGGAGACATGTGACGTAAGCCATGATTTCTCAATGCAGAGTCAACATGTCCATTTTGATGAGAGCGTTTTCTCATTGTCGGACTCTGATTACGACAGATCTTTGGCCTTTCAACAGCGAGACTTCGAGGACGTGTTCTTCAGGAATGAAATCTGACGTGTTTCCGAAACCTGAGTTGATTTCGTCGGAACAAGACGACGACCTGGCAGCTGTGAAACCATAGACAGACCGTAATATGTGCGTGAAATGCCAATAGTTTTATTGTTAACCTTGCACTATATAAATGTGTGGTAGTATCGAACAGTGTTTTATTGAAGCCAAGGCGTTCAACAGAATTCTTTGAGTTGCATGTTACGAGTTGAATTTGGTTTCATTTGTCGGCTCTCCTTGTCTCACAGCATTGCGCAGACTCCAACTCAGGGAGGCGGAACACTCTGCGTCACAGCTACGCGATGACGTGTACGCCACGCCCCGCCTCCAGTATGGTCACAACCACGTGGCCTGCAGGTAAACCCGCTCCACCCTTAATGTACGCGGTGTTAGAGCGTTGCAGTAACCTGATGTCGCAATGTCATTTCTGAGCAAATGTGCATGCATTGTTCTGCCAACGGATGCATGTGTTTTGAGAGACTTTTACAGGTTGCTGATCCTCCTCGACGGATCTCAGCTGCCTGTGCAACCCACCCAGGGCCTTGGGACAAAGCCACATGGCTGCCTGGTCATCACTGCTGGGTAACTGTGGTAAATGTTTGAATGTGAGATCACACAAGTGCACTCAGATCTTCATCTCATGTGATGCGATCTTATTTTGTGAACTGTTTGTAAATATTATTAATTTTCAATAATTGTATTCATTATTAAAACGCACATCTGATTTACATGTGGATTTTGTTTCTTGTTTATTATACATTGTATGAGTTTCATTCAAATAAATGGGACTGGAAAATCCCATGCACATTGCCTATAATAGCAATTTTCAATTTACATAAAGGTTTTTGTTGTATTAAAATGTAAGCACACAAAGGCCTAATGGTGGTATGTGACTAGGCTTTCATTGATTAAAAAGAACTGGTTTTCAGCTTCGTTTCTGCTAGAGTACTCTAGAATATTAAAGGGATACTCCACCCAAAAATGAATTGTCATCATCTCGCCATCAAGTTGTTGCAAACTTGTATGAGTTTCTTTCTTCTGCTGAACACAAAGGAAGATATTTTGAATAACAATGGGCTATATGCACGCATAAATTCCGCATTTGATGCAAGGATGCTCGTCCATTTCCGGTTGTGGAGATTAAAGCAAAAATGGGATTATGGCAGAGTCTTCAAAATTTACTGTCCTCCCGTCTTTGAAACGAAACGTACATAGGTTTAGATGTAATCTTATATATAGTTATGTTTACTTAATATAATTTTTAAAAGAAGCATAAACACAACGAGGGGTGTCTGTTTTATCTGTTTCTGTGACTAACGTTTCGATAGTATAACCATGGAGTATAAAATTCAATATATATTCTCGGTTTTGCATTGGACTCTACGATCGGCGGAAGTTATCGAGGATCCTTAAACCGTCACCGGAAATACCGCCGTGCTTAGAGCCCATTGCAACCAAACGGTTGTTTGGCACCATTGACTTCCATAGCAGAGAAAAAATATACTATGTGAGTCAATGGTGCCATAGTTCCAATCTTTCTTCAAAATATCTATCTTTGTGATTATCAGAAGAAACTCGTGCAAGTTTGCAACAACTTGAAGGTGAGTAAATAATAAAGAACTTCCATTTTTGGGTGGAGTATTGTAAACTGGTCAAAATGTGTAGAACATTTCGTTCCCTCTGCCCTAACTACCCTTTTTAAGCATATTTCACTTATGGAATCACAATTAATTTGTTTTAAAGCTTAAAAAATGTGCCAGTTAATATTAAACGTGTGGGGTCTTTAGAATGTTGTCTTGCACAATTGGGGCCCATTGAGCTTGAGGACTGCTGATGGAGAGAATATACAAGATGCATGTTCGTGAAGTGAGTAAGTTTCTTGTGTTAGAGTAAGGATTTAGCTTAAAATTATGTTTTTTCCCCTTTAGTGTAGGTTAAGCTATTTACTCTGCATAGGCATGTTAAAAACAATGGGGCTAATTGTGTAATGTCAAAGTCCCCCTGTAGTCAATTTAGCCCCCCACACCCACACACTAGTAGTGTGTAGGGGCTTTTTTGCCTTAGTATACAAGGTTCTATGAATATGCAAATTGTCCCCGCCCTCACACCACCTCAGATCCACTCATTGACGATCACACTGTAGTTTGAAGGAGAAAATACACAGCGATGATGTTATGTATCTGCATTCTGCACATAGTTTGTGTTCGTATTTAAAAACTCCATATAGGCATATAAACATTAATAAAATCTTGTTTTTCACCATGGGGACTTTGAACTGGCCTGATAGTACAGCCAAAATCTGTGTAAAGTTTGCTAATATTTTTTGAATAAAGACATACATTTGTTGTAACAATGATCTGCCATATTCAGTAAAACTTTAAATCATCTGCTGAAACATCAGATCAAATAATACATAAGAATTAATGTACTGAGCTCAGGACTCGTGTTTGTAGTGACAACAGTGTCTTCAGTTTACATAAATGACTGCACAAGTCTAAATCCAAAAGGAGATAGAGGTAGGACGCCTTGAAAATGTTTGAAAATCAACATGAACTGAAATCTATTTCAAGCTCATTTTCGGATCTATGTTTGCCTATTCTTGATCAAAGTTTTTTATAGCTGGGTTTTAAATGTCTGCACAAAGCAGTACATCAAATAAAATGTTAACAACTGGATCAGCTCTTCTGTTAATTGACTCTATATGATTGTTTTGAGCACAGGAACATTGTGTTCCTTTTTCTCACCGAACAGGGCGTGTTTTTAATTTATTTTATAAACCATGTGGCAAACAGGTGCACTTGCCTAACCAGTTTACACCACAAGGTGGCCCTAAATTACCACAGTAGAGTAAAATCCAACCACCAGAGCTCTAGGAAGGCTGACAAGAGCAACGTGTTGATAATCCTACTGCCACATTTAGAATAGTGCATGGCATCTGTGAGGGGCATGAAGCAATGGAGGAAAGCAGGGCAGGAAAAACCTCTCAAATTACACTTGTCAAGGAGGACACAAACCACAAAAGAAGCAATTCAAACAAGGTAAAGCCTGTCTCAATTTATCCAGGGCCTGTTTTCACAGAAAGGGCTTTGATTAAGCCAGGATAATGTTTAGTTCATTCAGGACCGTCAGTTCATTCAGAAGAAACAAAAACATTGCTGTTGTGTATTTTGAGACAAAACAATGTTCACTGACATAGGCTATCTTAAAATAAGAAAGGTTGCTTTCAGTTAAAACACCTCAAACATGCAATTTTGTCCGGCACTTTCTTAAGGCACGTCTGTAAATCCGAGGGTATGTATCTCAACTCCTGCTTTACTTTAATAAGCCAAACTTTAGGTTTCGACTTGTCTTTTTATGAGTGTTTCTCCCACTCTGACAATGCTAATGTGTCAGCTCAGTTGCCCCGTGGTCCATCTGCCAAGACAAGAGTAGGCTAATAGATGAAACAACTCGTCCCTGGCCCACTGTGTGCTGTCGATGAGTATACAAGGCTTGTGTATTATGATTGATATGAAGCCCTCCAGCTAGGCCGCACTGCCAGTCTATTGATTAGTCACCAGCCTGGCCTCATGGAAGGGCCTGTCCCCCGCTCATCCATCATACACATTTTCTCCCCTTTTAGACAAGTTACCAGGATAAGCTTCTACTTGAAGGAGCAGGTTCAGCCATTTAAGACCATATCTGTAATCTAAGATTTTAGTAAATGGTACACTTGCTCTAGGTGTGATAAGGTTGTAGGTAATTCATGTTGGTCTGGGTTTCATGAGATTTTAAGCCAAATCTAATCTAAATTGGCCATTATCAGTTATCTCTCTTTAATGTGATTCAGTCCATTTACTTCACATTAAAACTAGTGGATTTGTAAAGCTTTATATTTTTCAATTACGTGTTCTTTTATTTATTTTGTAAGAAAAGGCATTTTCAATAGCTTAAAATCTCAGGAAGCCCAGCAATGACCTAAAATATTAAAATCTGCAAAAGATTTTTGCAATGAAAAATATTTCAAACAAAACAACAGTGAACTGAAGTGTGTGTAATATATATATATATATATATGTATGTATGTATGTATGTATGTATGTATATATTTGTTGAGCTGTTCTATAGAAGACCGGCTCTTGAATCAGCAAGGCTGTATATAACTAAATCAGTTGTTCATAATCACACCATTACTGTCTGTTTTCCAACCTTGTATTTCTCGCCTCAGGTTATGTGTTTATCGGACTGTTCTGGCAAATGTTATGGAGAAAGCATGTGAATCAGCTGTTTGGTGATGGATGAATGGACCAGCCTTTTGGCCTTATAGACAAATCAGCAGTTCAAGAAGATAAAGGTAAAGCCCTTGAAAGGAATTTGTTTGTTTTTCATTATTTTTGTGCAATCAAAAAAAAAGGCAACACAATCCTTAAGCAGTTTGTTCTCCATTTCATTTTCTGCAGTTTATTTAAAGGGCAGAGTAGATTCATTTAAATAATTTGCTAAATGAAGGTTGAATTGATAAATGATTAACACTCAAACGGAATTCCCATTGTTGAAGGGTTTCTGTAAATAAAATTAAAGTATTGCTTAAATGATGCCCATTATTTCTACTACATGCACGTGTATAGATGTAGAAAAACAGCACTTTGACCTTCACAGAGACAGGTGCCTGTGGCGTTGTGGTTGGACACACCCACGGAGTGGACTCTGTTCAGCCGAAAGAAAAGGTCACAGAAATGTCGTGCAGTCATGTCCTTGTAAGTTTGTTCAGACCTGATAAAAGCAAAACTGCTGCTCTACTTTTCAACATCCTAATAACTTCACACTATTTAAACTATGTTGTGATGACTCCAGTAACAAATTTGCGTTGTTCATTAAACATTATTTCATTATTATATTTCCACAATATGCCACAGTATATTCCACAGATTCCACAGTAATCTGAAGTATCTTATCTTACATTTATTATCTGGTGTTGTGCTGATTTTGGCTGAATTTGCCCATTGACCGAATTAGAATAGCATTCTGGCATGGAACTCTTACTATTTCTTCCCCTCAAGTATTTAGAAATGTAATTTATTCCTTCGATGGTAGAGCTGAATTTTCAGCATCATTCAGCATCCATTCTTCTTTCTAAATTGGACTTTTTTTCTACTATGTTTTTCCATCAAATAAATAGAGACGTCGTTCAAAAACATGAATATTTTTGTAAATATTCCAAACGTTTGACTGCTATTGTAGATGTATTAATGTATCACTGATATAGAATAGGTGTGGAGTGGGGTGAGCGCCAAAAACTCAATGGTCAAGGGTCTGTAGTTTCTTCTACTCTGAGATGCAGGTGTGAAAAATGACTAATCTAATCTGTCAAATGACAAATGGATATTGAGTTGAATGCTTTGAGCTTACTATTTTGCCTTGACCCAGTTGAGGCCCTAAAGCCTGCTCACTGGGGCCATTTTAATGAATTTCTGTACCGGAAATAGGCCACGGGTGAGGGGGGCAGGGGCTTTGACGTGAGCGTGTGCACCTCCGGGAGCATCCCTCTCCTTCAACCTCGCCTCATTAGTCTAACTGGGCAGTTGCAGAGCTGTTGTGTGTCACGTTTATTTCGGTCCCCCTAAACTCCAAAGTGCTCCCTCAACTTATCTTCCTGTATTCTCCATTTCATCTCTCGCCACCCAAGAGACGAGGTGCTAGAAATGCGGTTCGCCCCTGCTCCGTCGTCATCAAGGAGACAGTTTGGCAAGGAGGAATCGGACACTGATGCGGTCGCAAACTATGTCAAGGACGCAAAAACCTGCTACAGTTCACCTGTACAACATCTGAGTGCACAAATGCAGAGAGGAATTGACCCACTAAACCAACAACTCTCTGCACTCTTCCTTACATTTAAGGTGTAGTTCACCCCAAAATCAAAACTTTGCTATTATTTACTCACTGTTATTTTTTGTTTCATTAGTACAACCCTAATTAATTCAATGTTGTTTGCATACAATGACATTTCATAAAATAAATCACTATAAACTGTTTGATTTGTTTTCTTCAAGTCTTCTGATGGATTTCTGTGAGGAAAAGACCCAAAATAAATGTATAGAACACTAGGTTGGGGTGATTTAAAAAATTTTTAAGGACATTTATTCTGAAATTAAATTGAATAAAGGGGACAGTAAAGGCATAACATTACAAAATATTTTCCTTTATTCAAATAAATTATGTTCTTTTGAACATTTTATTAATCAAATAGCCCTGTTTTCCTTGTTTTATTTTTTAAAAAAACTAGTTTTCATCATTAAGAAAGAAAAAAAATTTGAGCTGTAAATCAGAATTTCAGAATGATTTCTGAATATACATGTTATTTTGAATTGTAATTATATTTCACAAAATGTAAAATGATTTACAGCATTTTTCTATCAAATAAATTGGTGAGCTAATGAAATGTCTTTTTCTGTATCTTAATCATTAATCATAATCATAAGTTACTTAATTTCAGTCTGTTTTCTCACACAAAGCTATTGAAAGTGCTTTTACAGTACTTTTTTGTTCTTTAAGAAGCTCGACGGCTCAGAAAAATAAATAAACATATACATGTTAGTGAGGACATGAGTCAGAATAAAAAAAATTTTGGGGTGAACTATTCCTTGTGTAGTAATGTGAAAAAATTTAGCAAATGTCCAAAATTCGATCTAGATGTCATTGCATACACATCACATCATTTTCATTGGTTTAGCCTGGCCCAAACCTGTAATCTGCCTGTCATCCAATCGCTAAAAGCCCTTTGAAAGAGTTGAAAGAGCTCAGACAAGGGTCCTACTGTTCAGCAGAAGACACTGCTCTGTTGATAAAATCAGACACATACTGGTTGATCTGTTGTCTTCAGAATACTTTGTGTTGGTGAAATGAAATTTGAATTAAAGAAGCAGCAGTTTGTATGAAGCAGAAGCTGCTGATTTGAATGAAGCTATTGAAACGGAATCAGAGTTTTAGATATCAGTCCGTCCCCATTCATATAGGAGCTGTACTCATCTATAAGGAGGGGTCCACATACTTTTGTTTTCATGTGTCATTTCAAGTCTATGAACGTACCTCCTCTTAGTGTTATTGTGAAGACCAAGATGCTCTCGTCATAACATTCATCACACTGATGTGATCCAAAAACTACTGCTCACTAGCCACCAACACGTATACCTGCACAGTGCTACCATTAATGTTCCCTTCTTAGAAACAAACGGGAGGAAAAGTCAACCGTAGTCTTCCCAGATTCATTCCATCGCACACTCGTAGGAGTTTCCGTCAGGCAGAATGAAAGGGATGCTGGCATGGAAGGTCTAAAAACAGCACTTTGTTGAGAGACAGGCAGCAGCTTGATCAGGTCAAACAAGGTGACTCTCTGTAGTGTGTGTTCATGGCTCTGATACCTCCCTGTATTTTGGCACATGTAAATTCGATGGATGGGCAACTTCAGGATTTAGTTGGTTTTCAGTGCAAGCAGAGAGATGTCCTGGGGTGTGGACAAGACCTGCTTTATTTTGGTCTTTGGTGGATAATGATGCAAACACAATGACTATTGCAAACTTTATTCATTTATTCAATTTTAGTTGTATTCAATTTCATTTTATTTAAATTTGAGATTTCTATTTGAGTTGAATAGACAAGAAAAATGTTGGCCTGTTTTGTTTTTCGCTGTTGTTTCGTCTTGTTTACCTTTTATTTACTTTATAATTCTATTTTATTATTATTCCTTTTTATTTTATTTAAATGTAAGATTTCGATTTTAGTTGAATAGACATCCATGGGATACTTTTTGTTGTTGTTAGTTTTGCTTTGTTTTCGGTTTTTGTTTTGCTTTCATTTTATTTAATTTGAATTCTAGAGTTATTCCTTTTTATTTTATTTAAATGTGAGATTTGTAGACCTATTTTTTGTCCATGTGATCATAGTTTTGATTTTGGGCCTGTTTTGATTTAGTTTTTAGTTCTGGGCCTGTTTTGTTTTGCTTTCAATCATATTGTAGTATTATTCCTTTTTTATTCGATTCAAATGTGAGATATGTGTTTTGAGTCGAATAGACCTATTTCTTTTCCAAGTATTTTATCCAAATGTGAGATTTGTTTTTCAGCCCGTGTGTGATTCAATTTCATAAGGATGACTTCACTCGTGTTGCAGAAATCCTCATTTAAACGTTGCTTTGAATTAAAGAGTCCGCTAAATAAATAAATATAAATGTAAATGTCAAAAATAAATAGCCTTTTCATTTGCACTCTAAATGCGCCGTGACTGAGAATTAGGAGAAATGTCAAAGTTTTCAAGATCACAACCTTAGAATGGACAAACTGGCAGTGTTTTGTCTAATGTTCATTTTGAAAGGAAAATAAAGTATAAATAGCCCCATCTCAGACCTCGGAGTCTCTGTATGCGGTGTGATTCATATCTCGTTAGAGAAGTCAGTTTCGTTAACCTCTCTGTAATTACCCAATGCGCAGCTCCGGCCCACAGCACACACAGCATTGGCAAACTGAAGCCAATGTGCGTCAGTCAGACACCAGTCCGACTTCAGATCTCTCAGCTGATTACTCCTACTCCATATTACTAATTCTACGTCTCAAGTTTAGTGGTCTTCTTAACTGACGTGTACAGCAACCCTGAAAGGATCCGAAGCTTGTCCTTGTCCACAGGGCTACTTAAAAGCTGCAGTCATTTGTCAAATAATACAATATGAATCCCTGAATGTGTGTGTTTCTGTGACCTTCTACGTTTTTTCGTCTGGTTTCTGGGATCTGTCTTGGTGATGTGCATAAGACTTTTTTTTTCCTGTCCCTCCCTACTGTTCTCTTTCCATTCGGGGACATTTCAGAGCCTTGGGAACGGTTTCCATGGCGACCGTAACTGCAGACAAGGAGAGTGTGCTGAGACAGGGATGTGAACGCACTTGCACTCTTGTCTCATGTGGAGCGCTGCTTTGCTCCCTTCCTTCCATCTCATTTGTTAAATGAGATGCTATATTTGTTTGTTTTTGAAGTTGAGGTTTTTTTTTTCTTGGTTCACATCATCAAGCTTACTAGGCTGCAGGTTGCGATTAAAGCATATTATACTACTTTTAAATACTTTTTTGGTACATTTTTATCATATTCAACATGTGAAATGTAAGATTTTGCTTCATCTATTAAAAATGAAAATTCATACATCCATCCATATATCCATCATCCATCCATCCATTCATCCATCATACATCCATCCATCATCCATCCATCATACATCCATCATCCATCCATCATTCATCCATCCACCCACCCATCCATCCATCAATCCATCATACATCAATACATACATCCATCCATCATTCATACGTCCATCCGTCCGTCCATCCATCATACATCCATCGATCATACATCCGTCTTTCATCCATCCATCCATCACACATCCATCCGTCCATACGTCCATCCATCCATCCATCCATCCATACATCCAACCATCCATCATTCATCCATACATCCATCATCCATCCATCCATCCATCCATCATACATCCATACGTCCGTCCATCCATCCATCCATCCATCCATCCATCCATCATACATCCATCCGTCCGTCCGTCTGTCCATCCATCCATCCATCATTCATCAATACATCCATCATCCATCCATCCATCCATACATACATCCATACATCCATCATCCATCCATCCTTCCGTCCGTTCATCCGTCCATCATCCATCCATCATACATCATCCATTCATCCATCCATCATACATCCATCATCCATCCATCATCCATCCATCATCCATCCATCATCCATCCATCATTCATCCATCCACCCACCCATCCATCCATCAATCCATCATACATCAATACATACATCCATCCATCATTCATACGTCCATCCGTCCGTCCATCCATCATACATCCATCGATCATACATCCGTCTTTCATCCATCCATCCATCACACATCCATCCGTCCATACGTCCATACGTCCATCCATCCATCCATCCATCCATACATCCAACCATCCATCATTCATCAATACATCCATACATCCATCATCCATCCATCCATCATACATCCATACGTCCGTCCATCCATCCATCCATCATACATCCATCCATCCATCCATCATCCATCCATCATACATCCATCCGTCCGTCCGTCCGTCTGTCCATCCATCCATCCATCATTCATCAATACATCCATCATCCATCCCATCCATACATACATCCATACATCCATCCATCCTTCCGTCCGTTCATCCATCCATCATTCATACGTCCATCCGTCCGTCCATCCATCATACATCCATCGATCATACATCCGTCTTTCATCCATCCATCCATCACACATCCATCCGTCCATACGTCCATCCATCCATCCATCCATCCATACATCCAACCATCCATCATTCATCCATACATCCATCATCCATCCATCCATCCATCCATCATACATCCATACGTCCGTCCATCCATCCATCCATCCATCCATCCATCCATCATACATCCATCCGTCCGTCCGTCCGTCTGTCCATCCATCCATCCATCATTCATCAATACATCCATCATCCATCCATCCATCCATACATACATCCATACATCCATCATCCATCCATCCTTCCGTCCGTTCATCCGTCCATCATCCATCCATCATACATCATCCATTCATCCATCCATCATACATCCATCATCCATCCATCATCCATCCATCATCCATCCATCATTCATCCATCCACCCACCCATCCATCCATCAATCCATCATACATCAATACATACATCCATCCATCATTCATACGTCCATCCGTCCGTCCATCCATCATACATCCATCGATCATACATCCGTCTTTCATCCATCCATCCATCACACATCCATCCGTCCATACGTCCATACGTCCATCCATCCATCCATCCATCCATACATCCAACCATCCATCATTCATCAATACATCCATACATCCATCATCCATCCATCCATCATACATCCATACGTCCGTCCATCCATCCATCCATCATACATCCATCCATCCATCCATCATCCATCCATCAT